AACACTATTGGAAACTAGAAATGGTCTGTGGGTGACGAATTTTTTACATGCGTGTTTTTGATGCGACAGAAAAATCATATTTTCTGTCGGTTTCAAAATATCCCTCTGTAAAAAATCGAAAACCGACAGAATAATTATATGATTTTTCCGTGCGTGACAATATACACACGGAAAAATCAGCACTCACACAAAAATACAACTTATTCTGCCGGTAGATTTTAAAAGCGCATGAAAAAATCATACACACGCACGGAAAAAAACCAGGAAGTCCTAACCCTAACCCGCCAGCCGCCGCCCCAAACACCTCAAGACGCGCCTCATGGACTTCGCCCTTCGGCTCCTCACGCACGCACGCTTCCCTCCCTCCCTTCTTCTTCCCCTGCGCACCTCCCTCCCTCCCTAGCCCCCACACCCCTCCTCCTCCTCCCGCTTCCCACCTTCCCCGCCCATCCTCCGCCGGATCCCGCCCCTCCCTCCCTCCCTTCTTCCTCGGCGCGGCCAGTGCCGCCTCCCCTCCCCCTCCCTCCCGCTCCCCAAGCAAGATCCGGTGGTGGTGCCCCCCTCCCTCTCCCCCCTCCCCTACCTTCTTCCCTGGCGCGACCCCTCCCCTCCCGCTCCCCACCGGCGAGATCCAGGCGTGGCCGGTGCCGCCCCCTCCCTCTTCCCCCCTCCCCTACCTTCTTCCCCGGCGCGGCCCCTCCCCTCCCGCTCCCCACCGGCGAGATCCGGCGCGGCCGGTGCCGCCCCCTCCCTCTCCCCCCTCCCTACCTTCTTCCCCGGCGTGGCCCCTCCCCTCCCGCTCCCCACCGGCCAGATCCGGCGGCCGGTGCCGCCCCCTCCCTCCCTCCCTCCCCCAACGGCGAGATCCAGGGAGGGGGCCCGGCGGCGGCGCACCCCAGGCGGTGGTGGGGACGGCTGCGCGGGCCAGGGGCGAGCTGTAGCCCCCTAGCCGAGAGCGGCGGCGGTGCTGGTGGTGCGGTCGTGGTGTCGGCGTGCCTTTTTTTATTTTTTTATTAGAGCTTCTGTTGGCTGTATAATTAGCGAGTAATTTAATTCGTGCTTTGCTGCTTTGCTTCCGTGCTGCTTGAGAATTTCCTAATTGTTCCTAGTGTTTTAGTAGTATGATATCTGGTTGTTTTTTCTTCCTTAGTTCTGACCTGTTCATGTCTTGTCTGATCTTGTCATAGGCTTACACGGTGTCATTTTATTGCTGCATTACTAAGAGAAGATGGAATTCTCACTGCAACCATTTGCAAACTTGAATGAGCCCCTGATTACACTTGACAAAGGTGAATCTAGTTTTTGTTCAATCAAGTTTAGAAAAAAAAACATGTTCAAATTGTTATCCAGTACTTGGACTTTCAGTATAACATATCCTTGATGGTAAATTAACTGAACAAAATTTGCAAATGTTTGCTCACTACAAGTTAATCTGTCATCATCTGTGTGGATTGATATGCTTTGCTCTTTTTATAGACAAAATCAAACTTCATCTGCGGTGGTTGGGGTTCACAGTTTGTGGATGCATATGTAGCATGTCTTTCTTTTTCCAATTGTTGCTTTGCCTATCAGAACTATTATGTCAGCATATGCCTCTATGGTAATGCTTGCCTTGCTCCATTGCGTTAGTAGTAGTTGTCCCATAGATGTAGCTGCAGGATCTTGTTATTCTTATGATAAAAAAATCTAGCACCTTTGGTTGGTCAGATTGGTGACGCCGCCGTGGAAGTTACTAGTATATATCAACCTGATCAATCATTTTGATATGTGACATTTAGAATTTGTTGCAATACAAGAGGGTATCGGGGACTTGGAGTGCATCGAGTTAACCTTGTCCATGGGATAAGTATGTATGCAACACCAAAGTTTCTGAAATCTGAATCGATGATGTGTTCTTTTGCACTGTGCCTTGACTTTGGCCAATATATTTTAGGTTTGTCTTTATCATGACAAGGGCTATTATGCCTATAGTTTTGTTTTGGTATTTATCAGTTATCATTGCCTTTATTCAAGTCAGGGATATAGGTGATGAAAATTTTAGCTTTCTGTTATTGCATTCATGTGACAAACCACTCAAGATTACTCAACATCAATAATATAGATGAACCTGGGTACTGGACATTATTGTGCCAATTGGCTACCTGTCTTGCACATCGCATTATTTCATGTAAAACATCAGTCACAAAACTTCTAGAAGAATGTTCTTCTCCTCTATTGTTAGTTCAAACCGTTGTCTTGGTGGAGGTGGACCCCTCTCATCCGGTCTCCTTGGGGGTCTCCCAGGATTGTTTCTTTGACTGCTCCAATTACCAGATTTGGCACCCCATCCATCTGCTTTCCAGTTTGTGGTTGTGAAAATGTAGAATTCACTAGTTTATCAGTTTGTGGTACTTTTGGAAAAGTATGGTGGCACTATAAGTGAGGTAGCAGTAGCAACCTTCAATGTTTGCATGGGTGGCGGCCCGAGGTTTAGGCGGGTTTTTGAGAGCTGGAGGCTCCGGCTGGGATCGGGGGAGCCATGCCGCCTCAGAAAGCAGGAGCTGGTTTTCCTCATCCTGCAGTTCCTCGATGAGGAGAAGTTCAAGGAGACGGTGCACAAGTGAGTACTCGCCATGATCATGAATGGGGTTTTGGAGCCTTGCTTTCTTTGGGTGAGCTGGGATTTTGATGCTTTTTGTGGTTGCCTGTGCAGGCAGCTTATTCAAATTGTAGCAGCTAGGGGCAGCACTTATTAATTCTTTAACCCAAACAAAATCATTACATTGATCTGGTTGGTGTAATTCAATTTTTGGACAAATGGATTATACGTTTATGACTACAGTTATCTCTTTCTATTGGTTGTATGTCTTTCTCTAAAATAAAATGGTCTATATGCTTCTACAGATTGAAACAATGTCTTATTTCTTAGCAATAATTTGGATATTTTTGTGAAAACGCTGACTAGTATAGCACCTCATGTATGTTACTAGTTTGGTACATGTCAAACTGCCTGTTAAAACCATTTGTTTTGTTTGGTTAATTCTTTGTTCTATTTAACCTTATATTGGCTGATGTGAACTCAGGGACCATGGTTTACATCTCTAATAGACCTGGAGGTGTTCCTGTGATTCAAACAGTTGCTCCTGGGCTTCATGTGCTTTCGAATGCTGCAATTGATTCCCCTTGGCCAAAGGTAAGACATACAGGGATTTTATAAAGATATTCTGAATGCTAGGAATGTGATTATTTTCAGAAGTTGTAATACACTTCAGAGTTGAGATTCAGGTTTTTAAAGAAAGCTAATGCCACAATACTTGTCTGGGTATGGCTGACAGCCCAGGTCTATTCGATGCCCCATCAGTCTATTATGGCAAAATTCCCATTAATTTTGTAGGTTTCAATGAAACACAAGAATGCTCATGTATCTTGCAATTTGCTGTGACGTGCTAGCTCTGCCTTCTTTATGCCATTCTATTGTTTCCTTATATGATTTATGTTGCTGACTATTAGGTTATTTCATAGTAAATGCTCTTATGCTATTCATTGATGTTACAAGTCCATGATCGTCATTGATGTTAAGTATGGCCGCTATGCCATTCTATTGTTTCCTTATATGATTTATGTTGCTGACTATTAGGTTATTTCATAGTAAATGCTCTTATGCTATTCATTGATGTTACAAGTCCATGATCGTCATTGATGTTAAGTATGGCCGCAACAATTCAGTTTGAAATTTATCCTAGATGCCAAGCAACAAAATAGACAGGCAATCATCCTTGCACTGTTCATCATGTGCTGACAGTGGCACTTCTGTTTTTTTAATCTCAGCATCAAAGATGGATTTTAATCTGAATTGTTGCGGATACAGTTAACTTTAGTTGGTAGTTGCTATCAGACACTATCTTGAGTTATGGTTAATTCAGTTCAATGTCTATTAGAAATTACTTTTCTCTTTACCTCTGAATATTTTTTCTATTCACAAGATTACTCTAATTAATGAAAAATGGTCTTTTGCAGAAGGCTTTGGAAATTTCTTAGTTTGAGAACAGATTGTAGATATGTTGATCAGTAGCCATGCTTTGTTTATATGGTTTCAATAACATTGTGTTTTGTAACTGTATAATGACATTGAAACATTGAGTCCATTGTTATGAACAACAATGATATGTAACAACTTTCATGCTGATTATATGTATCGAGATTGCTGAATGTAACATGTTGATGCATGGCTAAATGATACTATTCATGTATGATGAAATATGATGATAGTCATTAGTTATGAGCCGTGCTTGTAGACTTCATTACTGTATGGACAGTATATATTTTAATATGCTGTTGCTATTGTTTTAAAAAAAAAATTGTGTGTTTAACTCTTTTTTCCTGTGAGGCTGGCTACACATAAATATTATTTTTAATCTGGACGAAATGAATTTTTCTGTGAGTTCACTAGACCGACAGAAAAAAAACATGTGTTTTTCTGTGCTTTTATTTCTTTTTTCTGTGTGGATTAACACACAGAAAAATTATTTTTAATCTGGGTGAACATAATTTTTCTGTGCGTGCGAGACCCACAGAAAAATCATTTCTGACGGTGAACCCACAGAAAAAGTCGATTTTTCTGTCATTCTATTTCTGTGGGTTATTTTCTGACGGTACACCGTCAGAAAAATATTTTTCTGACGGTATTCGAATTTTTCCGTGGGTTTTCGCACACACAGAAAAAAGAGAGATTCTAGTAGTGTAACACCCAAGGAAATTTTAATTTTCTTTCGCAGTTTACAAATAACAATCTTAATTTCCTTGGTGGTGCATATAACCCTCCAAGGTACGTACATTTTCTTGGAAGTTGACTAACACCGGCAAGGAAACTATATATTTCTTGGCCCTGACCCTCAAGGTAATTCGGATTTAGGACGGACCATGCAGATCAGAGTGATCGTGTATTAGCCTGAGATCACGTCGTTTTTATTTATTTCATACATGGCACATACAGTACTTTGCATGAGATCTAACCAATAGTATCATGCATCTTGACGCCATTTTTTGGCTGACACAGCCTCAATAGCGGAGCCTAGAGGCCACACAGCTTCCACGTAGTACTCTCCATGCTCACCTTGTCCACCACGGTGATCTCCTTGGTCGCCTCCACACCTGCATTGCACGCAATTTCAGTAGTCAGAAATATGTATGAAATTAGTTGTTGTGTGAACCCCCAGATAACATTAGTATCATTGCATTCTACACAACCCTTGCATTGATGATCATTTACACTAACCAAAGCCATACTAGCAACGTATACTGGTAGTCAAGGTCCATGCATACGTATGGCACATAGACATCGTCGTTGACGTTTGGGTATTCGATTTTGGCTTCTTCAACACTCATCTGGCAAGCCTCCGCGGAAGCTCCGAATACGCCAGGGGTAGTTTTTCCGCTTGGTGCATTGTCATCTATGATGCCGACCTTTTCAGAGGGAAGAAATGGGTTTAACTTCAAAGATCTTCAATTTTTATGCATGCGTAAAATCTATGCAGGTTAATAAGTAGATTAAGAAGCTAGTCGTTGCTATACCTCTGAGGCCACGTAGTAGAAGCTGGATGCAACATAGAGGTTATCTTGGCCTGCTCCGCCACCGCCATTCCATATGCCATTGAAGGTGCAGTTCTTTGTTTCACATGGCGCGTTCAGGTTCAGTGCTTTGCCTATCTCTTCTCTGCACTTGCAGTAGACTGCTCCTTCTGGTGCGGCAGTTGCATCATACTGCTCCTCATTGTAGGTGTATTCACCTATAAAAAAATGAAAATGAAAAACACAAAGAGACTTGGATTTTAGGGTTATTGGAAAAGAAAACCAGTGTGAAGTATCTATCTATATGTATGTTGCCAACTTATATACCGCTGAATCCACGCAACATGCAGCTGCTGAATGGTCCATTGTTTGCCTTCAAAATCTCTGCTCGTGATGCAAAAGCACCATAGTGCAAGTAACTGCAAGGAGATCGAGGTCACAACATATATCATCTTTGCCTTTAACATAGTGGCATTGTAATTATTAATAAACCCTAACCTAAAAGTATACATATACACACACTCTCTTCTATGAGACAATATGTTGATCAAAACCTATGAGCATAGATGTTGTAATCTTTTCCTTTAAGATACTCTCTTATAACATAGGGGTCTTCCCCATGAGGCGCCACCGGAGCATTTGCAGCGGTATTTGCAGAAATGGCATAGGCCATTTGCACTGATCCACCGCCCATATCAACCACGGCTACTGTCTGTGAGTAGTCCCCTCCCAATTTATCCAACAGATAATTCAGAGCAACCTACAACCCATGCCCAAAGCACTCAAACCCATATTCTTATACAGATTGTGTATATATTAAAATGAGGTGAAAAAAACTAGCATTTTCTTAAAGTTTTTTTTTTTTTTTTGTGTTTGATAATTCATACCCATAGGTATGATCCTTCTTGAGATCCCTCAATAACAGTGATCCACTCGGGCTTGGTCTGAAATTTGCTCTTAGTGTGGACAGGGTTCCTAACCTATATTGAAATTTAATATCAGTTAGCATATTATACTAGTAATTTTGAAGCCAGTTGATGAGAACCTGAGGTAAGTGAGATAAATTAAAACTACCGCTTCAAGAATCTGGTCCGATTGCTCTTCTCCGATAAGTCCCAACCCAGCAGTTGCCCTGCAAATTTCAATGGCGGTATATATATGCTAAATCAAGACAATTAGCTGGATCCATTTGGAAAGGAGACATTAATTTGCATCAAACTAAACGAACCAACTCGTGAAATTTCCAATGTAATTTCACTGATTAGACTTAAGTAGAGTGTGTACTAGAAGGTGTGGATTTCAATGTAAGTGCAAAACTAACTAGTTGCAGACCTATATATGATGGATTGGAAGTTGATCATCACTTATTATAGATTTGTAGTGAATTTGTTCACGTCCGAGTCTAAGGGGGGTCCTTCTCATCAGCTGTTTAGGGACGACACTTTTGGCCTTGTCAAGAAGAGGCAGTATGGAATTTGCAGCCTCTTGGGGATGTCCAGCGTATGAGCTCAGACCGGGCTTCACCTGCAGCAACAAACAAAGGTTTTGCTCCTTGCCTTGATCCATATATATAGACTATAGAGCTTGTGGAGTACTGTCGAACCACGTACACAGTCAAGCTCATGGTTTCATGAACGGATCCATGTATGTATACCTTGGCGAACACCTCGATGCCTTCGTCGCCGTCTCGAGCTTCCTGTCGAACCTGAAGACGTGCACACGAGTCCCCGTGCTGCCGGCGTTGAAGATCACGGCGTACCTCCCCGCCCCAGGCGGTGAACTCTCGGGCGCCGCCGCCTCATCGACGATGATGCCAGCTTTCCGGCCGAGCACGGAGTCTGCTGTGTAGAGATATAGATTTGGGCCAACAACCTTTGAATTACATCTCTGTCAAGTATATATACATGTTGTGTACAGCCGTGTGCGCTAGGAGCGCACGGACTCGGTCCGTGGGCGACGTCGTGGCCACCTCGTAGACTCTAACTAACTCAGTCAAAACTGAGATTAGGAACTACATCTCAACACTCCCCGCAGTCTGATGAATCTTCACGGCGCTACGGGAACGACACACAGACTGGATCGGAAGCCCGCGAAGGTGGATGTCAGCAGCCCCTTCGTCGTGATGTCGGCGTATTGCTCACCGGTAGGCACGTGCAGAACACGCAGGTCGCCGAGCTGGACGCCTTCACGGACGAAATGAATGTCCAACTCAATGTGCTTGGTTCTCTTGTGGTGTACCGGGTTCGCCGACATGTAGACAGCGGAGACGTTGTCGCAGTAGGTGACAGTTGCCTTGCCAATGCCGCAAAGGAGTTCACCGAGAAGCTGCCGGAGCCAGATGCACTCGGCAGCGGCGTTGGCGACGGCCCGGTATTCCGCTTCAGCGCTCGATCGAGACACCGTCGGCTGGCGCTTGGATGACCACGACACCAGTGCGTCGCCTAGGAAGACACAAAAGCCTGACGTCGAGCGCCTTGTCTCCGAACAGCCCGCCCAGTCGGCATCGCTGTAGGCCGTGATAGAGAGCTCGGCCGATGCACGAAGACACAAGCCCAAGGAACTGGTGCCGCGGACATATCGGAGTATCCGATTCAGCAGTGTTTGATGTGGTTCATGCGGGTCGTGCATACGGAGGCAAGCTTGCTGCACCGCGAACGCCAGGTCTGGACGCGTCACCGTGAGATATTGCAAAGCTCCCGCCAGGCTGCGGTAGTGCTTGGCATCGTCGATCTTGGGACCGTCGGCGGAAAGCTTCCTTTTCGCATCAACAGGTGTTGGTGCCGGCTTGCAGTTCGCCATGCCGGCACGTTCAAGGATGTCCTCGGCATAGCGCTGTTGGGAGAGGTAGAAGTCGTCGGCGGTGCGCTTGACGTCGATGCCGACGAAGAAGCGAAGCTCACCGAGATCCTTGACGGCAAACTCAGCGCGAAGACGGTCGACGATGCGCTGAAGGAGAGCCGTGCTAGACCCGGTCAGCACCATGTCATTGACGTACAGGCGGAGGTAGGCAACGTCGTGTCCGCAGGGAAGAACGAACAGCGATGAGTCAGATCTCGTCGGAGTAAAGCCAATGCCGGTGATGAACGTGGCGAAGCGGTTGAACCAAGCCCGTGGATCCTGTTTGAGACCGTCCCGGAATCCTTAAATTTACCGAGTGTTTTTATGTTTGCCGACTGTATTTCCTCGGATATTCGGCAAACAAGTTCTTTGCCGAGTGCTGCGCTAAATACACTCGGCAAAAAAAACACTCGACAAAGAGGAGATTTACCGAGTGTCAAAAAAAAACACTCGGCAAAGAGAGGTTTTGCCGAGTATTTTCTTTTTTTGCACTTGGCAAAGAAGTAAAATCTTTTTTCTGGGAAAGAAATTGAAGAAAAAAATGAAAAAAAAACTTTGCCGAGTGTCCAGATTTAGGACACTCGGCAAAGAAGTAAAAATCTTTTTTCTACGAAAGAAAGAGAAGAAAAAAAAAACTTTGCTGAGTGTCCAGATCTAGGACATTCGGCAAAGAAGTAAAATATTTTTTCTGGGAAAGAAGAAGAAGAAAAATTATAAAAAAACTTTGCCGATTGCCCAGATCTAGGACACTCGGCAAAGAAGTAAAATATTTTTTCCCACCGCACCGCCCTGCCTCCCACCTCCTAAAATATTTTTCCCAGCCGCACCGCCCTGCCACCCTCCTCCTTTCCCGCACCTCCCTCCTCATTTCCCTTTCCCTTTCAAGACCGCCCCGCCCATAAGTTCCTCCCCCACCGAGCTGCCTCCCGCCGCCACCAAGCCCGCCACTCTCGAGCCCGTCCTATTCCCTCCTCCCCCAAGCTCCTCCCCCATCGGCGGCCGTGTCGCTCGAGCTGCTCCACGGGCGGAGGTGATCCCCCGGCGGCCAGAGCGCCCTTCTCCCCCGATGTGCTCCATCGGCGCTCGCTCATCCCCCGAGCTGCTCCAACGGCGGCCGGCGCGCCCTCCTCCCCCATCTCCTTCTCCGATGACCGTGGTGGCCGGATCAGCGACCGTGGTGGCCGGATCTGCCGCTGGTGGGTGGATCCGCGACCGTGGTGGCTGGATCCGCGCCCATGGTGGTCGGATTCGTCGGTGGTGGGGCCTGAGCTGAGTAGGCGGGCTCGACGGTCCCTCTCCATCTCTGCTCTCGATGCGGGCGCGGCCTCGATGGCGGCGGATCTAGTGGCGTAGGTGCGGGCGAGGCCTCGGCGGCGGCGGATCCAGCGGGCGCCCCTCCCCTCCCCCTTCTTCTTCCCCGGCGGCTTTGGTGGTGGTGATGGTGGTGGCGTGGCCGAGGGCTGTGGTGGTGTTGGTGGTGGCGGCGGTGGTGGTGGCGGCGGCGTGGTGGTGCTGCCGACGACTTGTTTTTTTATTTTTTTTCCTAAAAATGTTTGCCGAGTGTTTTTTTGGACTCGGCAAAGCAGTATTTGCCGATAAACGGTTTGCCGAGTGTCGTTTGCCGAGTGTAACACTTGGCAAATAGTTTGCCGAGTGTTTTTGGGGCGGCACTCGACAAAGCTCCTGTATCCGGTAGTGCGTAGAGTGACTTGTCGAGAAGGCAAACAGCGTCGGGTTGAGAAGGATCGAGGAAGCCCGTAGGCTGTTGACAGAGAACGTGTTCTTTTAGATGACCATGCAAGAACGCGTTGGATACATCCAGCTGCCGTGTTGGCCAACGACGAGAAGCAGCGATGGTCATAACCGTACAAATGGTGGCCGGCTTGACGACCGGCGTAAAGGTTTCCCTGAAATCAATGCCGGCACGCTGGGTGAAACCTCAAACAACCCAGCGGGCCTTGTACCGATCAAAGGAGCCGTCGGGGTGGAGTTTGTGCTTGAAAACCCATTTTCTAGAGATGATGTGTGCACCGGGCGGGCGATCAACAAGCCGCCAAGTGCGGTTGGCCTGAAGGGCAAGAAATTCCTACTCCATAGCAGCGTGCCAATTGGGATCCTGGAGCGTGGTACGCACCGAGGACGGAAGGGGAGAGATCTGATCGCATGGTGGCGAGACGGAGGAGGTCTGCGTAGTTAGCGCGTAGCAAGGATTTGGTTTGAAAACGCCCGCACAGGAACGCGTGACCATAGGATGAACTGTTGGGACATCAGGTGCTGGCGATGCAGTGCCGACAGGTGACAGGGACCCACTGGCGAGGACGCTCGGTGTCGCGACAGCAGTTGGGGAAGACTGCGAGGGAGATGACAGAGGAGGGCTAGCATGGTTGCCTGGCTAGGGAGGAGACGGGGGAACAGGTTGAAGTGGCTAGGGGCGCTCTGAATAACGCCGACATCCGTTGTCGGATGATGACAAAAAGAAATGCCATTGGCGTACGACAAAGCATAAAAACACTCGGCAAAGTCTTTGCAAACAGCACACGGCGTACACAGTGATGGCAAAAGTTTCTTTGCCAAGTGTTTTTTATCGGGCACTCGGCAAAGACTTTGTCGAGTGCTGAAACCGACGCTCAACAAAAAAAAAACAATGTGACGGCACGGAGATGGTCACGGCACGTTTGTCGAGTGTCTAACAGCCTGGGCACTCGGCAAACATGCCCGTGTTTGCCGAGTGTCCAGTCCCTGACACTCGGCAAACATGGTTTCTTTGCCGAGTGTCACATCCCGGACACTCGGCAAAGACTGGCCCAGAATATACAGATTTTGGCTTCTTTGCCGAGTGTCACAGCGCAGACACTCAGCAAATATGGCCATTTTAGTCCCAGAATGTACAGATTTTGGCCACGTGTCCGATTTGCCGAGTGTATTTTGCATGGCACTCGGCAAATAGCCCTTTTGCCGAGTGTAACACTTGGCAAAGCTGCCACATATAACCAGTTTATTTGGTTCGGTCACAGCCACGTACCACATTCAAATAAACATCACATCTATCATAGATAGTTCAAAATAGGCATCACAGACAGTTCATATAGATATATCGACCACGTCACAAATGCAAATGAACTTCACAATCACAAATGTAAATAAACTTCAGAATCACAAGTACATAGTAACAGTCGCTCTCCAGGCTCATCAGAAATACAAATAAACATAGCACTATGACCATGGTGACCACTGTCAGTCATAAGGCTCATTCGATGCCGCAGATTGATTCTGCACAAAGGAGAAGAGATAAATCATTCAAAGTGATTGAGAACGAAACATACAAGTATTAGAAATAAACTAGCAACTAGAAAAAGTGATTAATTCTGTGGAAACTAAAAGTAGCTAAGTTACAGTGATTGAGAACGAAACAATGATTTCAAGGTTAACTACAAACTAGAAATAAACTAGAAATTAGAAACTAGAAACATATGCACATCACAAAGGAGAAAAGATTGATTCTGCATAAACTAGAAACGGTGATTATAAGGTTGTGAAATGACTCACAGTGCCAAAAACAGTATTTGGAGCAGGTTGAGGAGGAGGGACTGGCATCGATGACGGAGGTTGACCGATTGCAGCGTAAACACCTCTCATATATTCAAACATCTGGGCTCGCTCAGCATCCATCCTCTGCGGCTCTGCCTACATCCTCTGCTGCTCTGCCTCCATCCTCGCCTCTAGCTCCTAGCGCCTTGTTTCTTGTTGCAGCTGAGCATACAATATTTCATCCCAATGTTACAATGCAATGCAAAAGTATGTAAAAATCAATAAACGATGAATAAAATAGAAATAACCTGGAGTGCGTCCATCTGGAACCGTGTAGAGTCCAGCCGTGGTCGTATCACCGGGCTAGAACTCGTACTCCGTGCTTGAATTTAGGAGAGAGCGGGAGTACTAGCCGTGTCAATTGTGCCGTCGCTAATCCAGAACCGGCCTTGCTTCTTGCCTCCTCCCGCCCTCATGACCACTTCTCCATCAAGGTCATGGGCGCTCGAATCGTACTCTAAGCCATGGATCGCCCTTGCCAGCGATGTGTATCTATCGAGGCGGCTGTGGACGGACTCATTGCTGTACGTCGAGGGCTCATTCTTTGCACTAGGCCAAGGAACTTTTCCTTGATCAAAAGATCAAGGATACGAACATCATACGGAAAGAGGGATGCAGGATGCCTCACCTTGCTATTCTGCAAAGTGACGAGTCGAGGACGGTGGGGAATGGTGTTTGCAATAGCCTCTCCTGCAACAAACAAATATAATAGTGTCAATTGTAAATTTCAGCAGCACCTCCCTTGCAGGGTGAGGTAACCAAAACCTGCAACAAACCAACGGCACGATGGCCGACAACAACATACACACCAAACCAACGGCACGATGGCCGACAACCACATACAAAGGTTATGGGTTTAAAAAACAAACTGCTTTCCTCAACGGCTGGTAATTGGATTTGGCATAAATTAAATAAGCATTATTTCTCACAACGAGCTCGAAAGTTACATGCATGCAAAAGAAAAAAGACATAAGAGCATTTTTTCTAATCAAACAAGTATATGAGCGCAAGCATGACTCTACCACTACTTTGTATTAAAGATAGAGAGAATTTCTTATTTGACACTAGGAAAATGAGTCGTTCCTTTTTTGGCCCTGAAATTTTCTTCGTTCCCTATTTGACACTCACTTTAACTTTCATCCCTAATTTGACACTGCCGTCAAATCCGTTAGCTAACGGTGTTAACTGGCTGTTAAAAAGACGTTTTTGCCCCTAGAAAAAAAACGGCGAAGCAAATTTGAGAGGAAAAAAAACCTGCGCCTTTTTTTGCAGCTAGGCGCATGCATCAGAGGCGGGCACAGGTTTTTTTTACTCTCAAATTTGCTTCGCCGCTTTTTTTCTAGGGGCAAAAACGTCTTTTTAACAGCCAGTTAGCACCGTTAGCTAACGAATTTGACGGTAGTGTCAAATTAGGGATGAAAGTTGAAGTGAGTGTCAAATAGGGAACGAAGAAAATTTCAGGACCAAGAAAGGAACGACTCATTTTACCAGTGTCAAATAAGGAATTCTCTCTTAAAGATACGGCAAGAACTTTTGTTTTTCATCTCTGATATGTAAACAAGTTAGTTGTCTGCCTGCATTCCTGCATCTAGCTAGAGCATAGGTTGATTGTTGTCTTTCACACGTTCTGCTCATGCTGTGAGTGCAAAATTTCTCACCTTGCAAAGTGTTGCATGTTCAATTAGGAGTTTGGACATAGGACAGCTAGCGACAAATATACATGGTTTATTTGGCCCTAATCATCTGATTTAGTTTGTGTTGCAACGAAGCATCTAAGCTGGACATCCAATTTTTCTATTTGAAACTTTTCATGTTTTATGAACTTAATGGGCCGTAAGAAGATGAAACTAATCGTGAACTCTAATGCTCATTACATGACAGGAAAAAGAGGTAATGATCATGCTAAAATAATGACCCTATCTAGGCTCTATAGCGCCGTCTAAAGTCTAAACAAATTGTTTGTCTGTCATGCTAAATGTTTACCCTTGGTCTCCAAATTTTATAGTAACCGCCATTTGGCAATACAGTGCTTGCGGTATACTAGCATGTAAGTCATTCAAATGTGAGAAGTACCAAATCGAGTAGAGGGCGCCGGCCGCCGGGGGCATGGGGCGGCGGCGGGGTGCCAGGAGGTCGGCAGCGGGCTCGCCGAGGGCGGCGGGGACCGAGCGTCGGCGGTGGGATGTCGGGGCAGGGGGCGGCGGTGGGATGCGTGTGTGCGTGCGTGTGGGTGAGGCCGGCTGGGGTGGTTATCAAAATGTTTACCGAGTGCCCATGATCTAGCACTTGACAAAGCCTAGGTTTGCCGAGTGCTAGATCACGGGCACTCGGCAAACATATTTTGTTTTTGTTTTTTATTTTCAAACCCTAAATTACTGTGCGTGAGTGGGGCCGGTGAGGGGGTTTGCCGAGTGTCCCAGGTCTGGCACTCGGCAAACGCCATCTTTGCCGAGTGCTAGATAATGCACACTCGACAAACCTTTTTTTTA